TGTCAAAGTACACAATAGGTCAAAAAATTTTCTTCTATAACGATAACTGTTTAACAAAATACGTATAAAAAAAATCATCAAAAAAATCAGTAAAAATTCAAAAGTTCACTTACTATGTCGAACATTATATATACATGTAATTACGTAATCTTAAATTAATAAATGATATCATAAAAAATCATAAAATCAACGCCACCTTAATGTTACTGTTTCAATTTATTAATCGTTATAATATACAAAGATCTATATATCCTCTGGAATAAAAGTACATAGTAGTCTTGGCGTACACATCTAGCGAAATAAGTTTAAATCGAAATATTCGACCATATTTGTGTTTGATGTTCTTTATTTTTTCACAAGCTTATACTTTTCTTCTGTGTAAAGTACTTGGAACTCGTATTCCATTCGTCGGCGTAGGAGATTATGATGTTGATTGTCGTCGTTGTCGCCTTAGAACTGCTAAACATATTCTTGAAAATTTTGGCGAAACTCTGCGCAACAATTTCTAATGGTTCAGTTTTGTGTTGATGGTTATTGTGAATTCGATCGTCAATTTAAAAGTTTGACTACAATCGCATACCTCCAGCCTTTCGATGCAGATTTTATATTTGATAATGTAGATTACGTATATATGCTATTATCGCAGTCCAGAATTTATCATGAATGATATATATATATATAGTAACGTTAAATCCTTAACGTTAAGCCTTGATATCAGGTAAATTGTAAGTTTGAATTGTTAAATTGTTTATTTTGAATTACTTTTATTTATAATAATAAATAACAATAGTGGTAGATATCCTAACACTAATTAAACATTCAATCAGGTAACATTTTTAATAATCTGAATTAATATCATATCACTAAACCCAAAATGGTAAAGAATTAATTGTCGTTATTATCGTTATCGTTATAGCGATAGGAACACATATGTTATAATCAACAAGTATGTATAATTTCCCAAGGTTTTGAATATTACTAGCATTTCTTTTTACTGCATTTGTATATTTTATTAAAACCGGGATTTGTCATCACCTCTTTTATCTTTACTTCCAAGGAATATAATGGGGATAGCATAAATCATCAACTCAGGTTAGATTTTTAAAGGTTATAACTTGTGTTCTATGCGTGAAACAAAATAGCCTCTTTAGCCAAATTGTAACTATTTGACCTGACCCAGCTACAATTTGTCTAAAGGGGATTTTTTGTCTCATGTATAGAACACGAGTTATAACCCTTTAAAAATCCAACCTGAATTGATGATTTATGCTGTCCCCCCAATGTATCACACAATATGTCCTATAAATATATCAATGCGAAATAGAAAGGCCATGTATAAAACAATTGAACAAAAACATCACAACAACTATGTACCAAATAATGGCTTTACAAATTAATAAACTTTCATTTAACGTTAACATTTAATCATTTGGCATTATGACATTCTTCTAACCATAAATGCTATATTAAATTATCGTGTTGAGCAATATAAAATTGGAGTTGTTTAACGCGCAGTTGCGTATGCAAATGTGTGTTATTCAACGTTAGTGTTAAATAACGTCAATCTATCTTGGGTTCGTTGCTCTTTTAGACATTGAACAACACCTGATATAAATCACTATTCAAAACTTCCTGATGAGGGTTCTAATGGGTATGTAATGACCTTGTTTTCAGATTCTTTTCAACTATGAACAATAAATTGGTCTCCGCAAGATTCATATTCATATTCCTTCAAAGACACATCCTTGGCGAGCAAATCTGGGAGCCTTGATATAATCAGCGAAGATTAGCTTATTTATAGTAGAAAATGATGACATTTCATTGTTTCAATCCGCCAGGCGACAGTACATTACTAACTTGTCCGTTATTATGCAAGTAATAAAAATGGTATGCTAAAAACAATACAAAGCAAAAGGAGCCGTCTCTCCATATAGTCACATCCTCTATACAATCACATCATTTCCCGGTTCAAGCTATTATGAATCAGAGGAAATTATATAGTCGCAACTTCTTTAAAATCACACTTTTCCTGGTCCCGAGGGTGCGATTATATGGAGGGACGACTGTAGTACCTTGCATTTTCAGACCCCCGAAGATAAATCAACTTGTCGGGAAATGCTTCTTCGCAAGTATCGTGTTTGTGTATAAAACTAAATCAAACCCTAATTATAGTTTTCAACCGATAAGAAAAAACCCTTGAAACGAAAATTATCACGAACCATTTAATAAATATTGGAGCGTGGCAAAAATGTTGACTAACCAACTTACGGTGAAAAAATACGGAAATAGACGAAAAATTCTGATACGCATGTAAAGGTCGCTTTACATGTTTTTACATATATATATATATATATATATATATATAAACACGTGAATCGCGTATGTAAAAGGTTGTAAAAGTCTGTTTTAAATAAGTCAGGAGTCATTATATTAGAATTTGAATCATAGCTCGGGTCGATTTACGTGTTTATATGGTATGTCTGACATATCAGACTCTTCGTATATTTTTACAGACATGTCAATATTCAATTGCAATTCTCAGCGAGAGCATATTTTCGAATTATTGTTCTCGAGAACATTAAACGTTTCAGTTTACTCGACAAAATTAGAACGGCAAAATGATGTGTCGTCTTTGCGTCGTGTCAATTAGCGAGAACACTTTTGACCATTGGGGTGAGACTTTCCTTTTGGAGATTTTATGTCTAAGCATTTATGCTTGTGATAGCTTTTTGTATGATTCTACAATAGACTCGTAATTTCGCTTTCCGAAATGTCAAAATTCTTTTCAGATTAAAGAGCGAATAATTAATTGATAATTTAATAGAAGGAAGTGCAAAATTCGTATGCTATCAAGTGAATACAGTCTTTATCATTATCGTGATAGAAAGACCCATTATCAGACATGCATGTAATCACTGATGTGTGCTATGCATGAAATTACCGTAGTAAAACGATTAGGAGCCTTTGTATTGTTAAGAACAAGGAAATTACATTCTTTTTCAAATCCCTTGTGATACAGAACAATCTGCGACGTATTGGTATATACAAAAAAGCACACGGGTTTATCGTTATCACTAAACTCGGGACATCTTTTTATTGCATTCGTTAAATTTGACTGTCAATAAAAATAGATTCTCGAGGAAGTATTGTGGTTTACCTAATATAAATTGAATCACTTATACATCAGTTTTAAGGCACCGCAGATAGTTGAAAAGCCAATTCAATGCCAATGATCGCATTTAATCACATACGTACGTACGTACGTATGTAACAATTGAAACAAACTCATTATTTCCAAATCGGAGTACTGCATGTAATCAATTAATTTTATGTTTATCATATTAGCAGAAACGCATCAGCTATTTAACTAGTATCAAAATTCACTTAAATCTTCAACAATGTCTACAAACCAAATATATCTTAAATCATTAATTCAAATACGTTTAACAAATGAAGCTTCATTGGCATGTTGCGCCAATTTCTACGTAAGCGAACTGGATGCACCCGAAAAATTGACTTTTCACCCAAATTAACAGATTTTTAAACAAAATTTAATTCGTGCGCTAGATTGTCGTGACTTTTATTTACACTATTTTCAAATGACCCATTATGTAGCCTTATTCAAGAAAAAGATTATCGGAATTTTGGCTCCGATTACAATTATGGTGCTCTCTATGATCATTCTTGATCATAAAAAGACATGGCCACAGAACTCACGCTGAATTCCGTCACATATGCACCACTCTACTGTATGACCCGAACTAATTTACGAGCGAAATTTTTATTAGGGAAATAGTATATGGAAATAATACTAATGTAAAAATTTACAATGATATAATCCAACATATTTTTGAATTAATATTATGCATCAGTTTGAAAACGATCATTAATTAATAACAATACAATTGCAGAAATATGATTTTCTGTTTTCACAAAACATCCAAAGCTACATATATTGTTACAAACAGAAGGATATGAACTCAAAAAGAAAAACAAATTAATCATGTCATTGAATTTACAGTAAAATATTGAGAGATTCTAAATAAAATGTATGCAATCAATCAGAAGCATGAACTATTCAGACAATTTATTAAAACATTGATTGTTTTTACACATAATCATGTTGCTAATCAAGCTAAATAACTTAGCTTTCAACATGTGTAAAAGATACCTACAAAAGACTCATTTGATTTTATTTTTGACATAATAGAAGACTTGCTTTGTCAAAAGCAAACCATAACAAAAATTGAGCGCTTGATGTCAACAAGAATTTTCTATTATTAATATCTGCAACTTCTTACATTTATCCCATAAAGATGTCAAGTGGTCGCCGGGTAACGCCAAGGAAATACAAAGGAAAATTTGGTTCATGAAATTTAAAAAATAATCGAAGAAATTAATTTTAGATTGTTTGCCTAATTGATTTCTAACAGTATACGTAACGATAATATTAGAAGGTTAAATATTCATTGTGTCGATGTCCATATACAGACATATGGGGTTATCAATGTGTACATGTAATAGATGATGCAAACGTGTGGTAATTTTTTTCGGAAAAATAATACCGTTGCTGTGTATGTTTTATAATGATTCATAGGTATTACTAGGAATATTTATTTATTTGAACATTATATAGTTTATCTGTACTTTTTTTCTTCTAACATTTTTTCATGAAACTTTGCCTATACCAAGAAATATCATTGTTAAATATAAAAACTATTTTTGTTCATATTTGTTATTACTTACATGCGCGCGCCAGAAACCGTAAGACTCCGATTAATTTTATTAATCACATTGTTGACATATCTTAAAAAAGAAATTCGAAAATATTGTGAATAAAGATATTTCGAATGAGGAGCATTTAAAATTATGTAATATTATATATACTGTTTAACATTATTTTATACTTGTTATTTCAAAAAAATAAAAATAAGTTGACTATAAATATATAATCCTTCCGGTGTGTAAAAAAGTCGTAATAATTCATCAAAAAGACTAATATGCCAAGAAACTCTCAAACTTCAAATATTTCGCCAACAATTAATATGCTAGACCTCAATCGAATATTTCAGCCACGCGACAATAATCCAGAAGAATATCTACAAAGAGGACGAGTTCGAATAGCAGGAGATAGGCCTAGAAGACCACAGAATGCTTTTTTCATATTTCGACAAAATGTAAGCAAAGAAGCTCGGCGCGTTGGAGTTAAAAACATGCGACTAATATCCACGGTCTCTGGTCATTTATGGAGAAATTCCAGTGAAGAACAAAAAGCAGTTTATGAAGCAATAGCGGTGCAAGTTCGAGCTTTGCATCGAGAAGCGTTTCCCGATTTTATATACACAAGACCTCGCTCAAGGTTTGAATTCCGTGAATATGAGCCGAAAGCAGCAGCACAAAATGAAAACAATTCTCAATCAGAAACCAGAGATGCCTCTACTCATCCTGAGATTTCTGCGATATCTTTTAATGAGTCCGCAGTTATTGCACCTACAGTTCCATCAAATTTCGAAGATGATCGAGAGAATTCAACGCAGGACAATCTTTAATTCACTTTCCTCGGAATGGCCAAGCCCGATTCAATGATAAAGAGTCCGAGCCCTATATTTCGATATAATTACAATATTGATATATAAACATTAGAAACATTATTTGCTATTCAATATCATTATAATATATATATTAAAATCTAAACATTAAAATATACTACGGCTTATAATAAACATTCATAGATTTAATTAAGTTAATAAAAAATTTTTGTATGCAATTATCAATTACACACAGTCGTACCGTACCAGAATTCGAAATATAAATATCCTACAGCGCATAATAATTTAATCTATTATTACAATACGCACTTTCATAAATGCACAAACTTTACTCTTTCTGTATGGTCACATCTCCTTTTTTAGCATTTTACTGAAATTATTAGGTCATTATGATTTACCCTTTTCTAACAAAAGAAATCTGTAATGCCACTACCAATATTGATGTATAACCAAGATTTTAAGAGATATTAAATAATTTGGCATTGAATTTTTAATTACAAAACTTAAAATAGAAATATTCTTTATAGAAATTCTTGTCAGAAAATTTTAATTTAAGGAACCAAGATATGCTACAATTGACCATGGGAATCCTCAAACAAGAACTCTTTCAGGAGCCAGATTTTCGGAGTATTTCCTGATTAAAATTGTGTATTTTAAAAAAAGATTGCTGATTTAAAACCGGAATAAGTCGGAAAATTTCCGGTTTCAATGTCAAGTTTTTAATCAGGTAATCATCCGAAAAAAACCGAATTCTGAGAGAGTTCGGAGGATTACCTGATTGGGAATCTTCCGAGAAATCTTTTTGCGGGGCTGAGATTTATGCTTAGTCGTTTTACAAGAAAATAATCTTGGAAACTGAGATATTAAAACAATTTTCAATTTTATCCCAAAACATTATTGATTCTATTTAAACGACGATAAACAATCAAATCGCGTATTTATATTCGGGTAAATACGGTTATTGACTCTTCATTTTTGTGATTCGATATTAATTTGTACATTTACTGTTGTATTTTTTAGTTTAACCTGTTCAATTTGCAATAAATCGACGAGTGTTAAAAGTTTACGTACCAATGTCCTTAAATAATGTTTCACAAGGATTTAGTAGCGTTTTAAGAATCGATTTTCTTTGAGATCAAAATCTGTAACGATAACGATATTCTGTGAATATATTATCATGCAAATATTAATGTCTCTGTACACTCGCATTCTTTTTATCACTTAACAAACAACACAATAATGGCTCGCCATATGATTTCCATCTGCAAGCACTTATTCAAACAAAGCGTCCACTAGCGGAAATTAAGCCTGTTGAAATATCAAACAATCAAATGACATACCAATTAAACCAAAAACTAACTATCTGCCATATTTAATAAAAACAATTTAATAAACTCATTTAATAAAACTCATTTATTCAAAATAATTTAATAAAAATAATTAGTTAAATAAACTTCATATTTGAAGTTTTTATGAAAGTTTTTAATAAATCAAAATTAATTTTACGAAAATTTATGAACATCAATCTTATTGACACCTGATGATATTAACGACAACGTGCTAATTTATATAATGCCTCAATATCGAAGTAGACAATTAGTATGTTCAAATGAAACATTCAACAAATGTAATATCCATTAGTTCATTAATGATTCGTTTATAAAAAATTATTACGTGCAATGTATTAGAAACTCACATGCTTTTGTAGAAACTTATAATTTTTTATTCGAAATTCACCAGTATTTTTAGTACGGGACTTTTAAATGTTGTTAGCGAAATTCTGTATTTTCGCTGAGTCTAGAAAATTTGTAATTTTATCGATAAAGATTTAGAACTTCGTTAACAAAACCGGACCGGAATAAAAATACCGATGAATTGCTGAATAAAAACAGCAGGTTTTTTTTTACAAGGTTATATAAAACATTTACAGAGTCAAGAATTGTAAATGTTTTACTCGCTATTTTAATTCATAATTAAAGCTCAAATTACATGCATTTTTAATGAATTAAGAAATGGATGTTTCTGTAACATTACGGACACAAAAAATCAGTCCGAAATGCAGAGGCCGGAGCAATTCGCCTGTATTTCCTCTATGCATGAAATCATAATGATAATTTTTACTGTATTTGAAATTTTACAATATGCACATATGTATATTAAGTTGCATAAAAATGTGCTTGCCATACCTTCCCAAACCTGTATAAAACTCAATTACATGTACATGTACATGTACAAGGGTCATATACTTGTGTGGAATCCAAAGTTAGGAAAAAGAAACAATTTCATGTAGCGATCGTTACGTTACTTCTGTATCTTTATGGAATAAAATAATGATTTTTCCGATTTAAGTTCTCAGATCCGGTATAAACTAACTGCGTATTTACTCATAAATATTTTCTTGAACCTTTAAGCCAGTTTCTTTAATATTACCTATGATTGCAACTCAAGTTTATACGATTTTGGATTATTTGATCTTTACTTATTCTAATAGACAAACAATAGTTAGTCATCATGCTATGAATTATCAATGAGACTGCAAATCGAAAAATGGAGTGGAGTCAGTGAAATCCGTATGGTCTACCCTCTCTAAGGTCACACATTTTTAATGAATTTTATAGTATCAGTTCCAAGAGTATGTATCAAGTTAAGTATAATTGTTTCATAATAGTTGTTCTATATACAGTTATACTTCTCTTAATAGATACTTTTGGAAATAGCACTATAAAATTCATTCAAAGAGTGTGACTTTAGAGAGGGTATATGAATTTGGTTTGTTTTTTACTGCTCCACCACAAAGACAAATAAAGTGCTTACCTACAGTAAGACTTATCAAAAATAAACAAAAGCAAAAACAAATCCTTTCCAAAATCAGAGTTATTTGCTTTTATATAATTTATTATTGTTCTTTTAATAAATAATGTTTTACTAAATACGTAATGTTTTACTAAACAATATATTACGTAGATACAAAAATGTTTCATGATCTCTATATTTCGATTGGAATTAATTGATACATGTACGTAATAACTGGTGATCCAACCTGTGACTTTCTATGTTAAATACACCAAATATTATTATTATTCTACAGAGTATTATTCCATCGTCACGTGAATAAATAAAAATATTTGCTACGTTTCAATAAACTCATAATATCGATATGACTAAGTAAAAATGACTAAACATTAATTATTGCTTTTATTCACAAAAATCGCATATTAATTTGAAAAATTAATATTTCGCATTAAAAACTAATTTTGAATAATTTAGCCCGTTAAAGCCAAAATTTAAAGGTCAAAATTACCTTTGCTAAAATAAAATTTAAGGTTTATTTTTAATTTGAAATCTAAATTTAATAAATGAACGGAGAAACACCTTAAATTGCAAGTAAATCATCAGAAATTAAGGGTATAAAAGTTTCATGCCTTTGTTTGTGAAAGGCGTTTTAGATTTCGGGACAACACTGCCGACAATCGGTTTTAATTCAGTAAGAATTGTTTTTTGAAGCGAAGCAAATAAAAAATTATCTTTAAAGTTACTTCGCGTTTTGTATTGAGATTTGCGTTAAAAAAAATGGAAATTTTAATAAATTGTCAGTTTTCTAGTAATTTTTTCTATTTACGTAATATCCACGCTCAGAGAATTTATGTTTGTTATACCTACAATAATAGTATAAAATTTTTTATAAATAGGAGCTCCTTTCAAATTTTCTCAATAAAATATTGATTTGGAAAAAATTGCATATACAAATTGAAAAATATTTTTAAAAAAATACTTTCGCTTTACAGACTCAATAATATGGCATCACCAGCAACATCAAGTACAGACGACGTTAATGAACTTATTCAAAAGATGAATAGAAATAATATTTTCTCTCCACAATTAAAAAATCCAGAAGAATTAGTAGCAGAACCACGAATAACAGAAACCGGTAGTCTTCGTCCACCTCGACCACAAAACGCATTCTTTTTGTTTCGTAAGAATGTATTGGCTGAAGCGAGACGCTTTAGCGTGCAGAATATGCGTATAATTTCTAAAGTAGCTAGTATTCTTTGGCAACAAGCAACCAATAATGAAAAACAGATGTACAAAGATTTAGCGAATAAAGTTTCTGTATTGCATCGTCAACGCTATCCAAAATTTCGCTATACCGAAAATTATCAACGAACGCGATTCCGGCGTCACTTTTTACCGAACGCTCCTCCTTCTCCTGATTCAAATAACTCAAATGATGCAATCGAAAGTAGTACTAGATCTTTAAACTTTTTTTTAGAAAATTCGTTGGATACTATGCAATTTCGATTTGTTTATCCTTACGATAACTATTATATTCCTCATGACATTATATATGACGAATGTTTTATTTGAAGAACATTGATCAATTTTTTACGGACAATTTATACATTATCGTTATCATTATTGTATTATAGATGCGTTGTTATTATTTTAATTTTATTATTTATTTTAATAAGGAACTAAAGAGACAATTATCTTTATAAGCAATAAAATCTTATGATTAAATTTTGTTAAAGAAAACTTTATTTGACGCTCTAATCTCAAATAGTTTAAAATTAATTATTTTTGGTGATAGTTTTTTTGTCCGAAATGCAATATAAAATCAATATTTTTTTATGGGTTTCAGCTCCGAATCGCTTGATCTAGTGATCAGATTTTACGTACCGGAAAAACTTTATACATGTATATACATGTACATGTATATAAGGTGCTGAAACACAAAATATCAGCCCATTTTCCTAGAACAGTACGTAGTGAAATGCTAATTTACTATTTTTGTCTACATTTATTTCATGTTAATAAAAAAATCTTGATATGAGAAAGTTTAAATTTAAAAAATTACTCCGTTTATTGACGAGTCAGCTGCTCTGCCGTGGGTCAAAAGTTCAACAAACATATTTTGGAATGATAAATCAAAAAGATAACACTATCGCTATAATAGAATAGAAAAAATTCAGGGGCACTCTCACTTCTCTTTCGTGTAAACTTCGGAAAGAATCATTCCTACGAATGGAAAACAAGAATGTTATAGGCGCCATGTACATCTACTCTAGTTGGAAAAATCTTGATAATTGCTATTTTTAGCAATTACATACATGTATCGCTATTTTATCGTTATTAATATACGTACCATTGATCATGTATAATAATAACATTAATAGTACATGTATTAGAAATTTATTGTAAGATCACGTGCATTGTGAGAAAACTAGGCCCTTTAGCGTTAGCATGCTAAAATTAACTGGGGATCTCACATAACGATAATTAATACTGCAGATATTACTAAAGTAATTTTTACTAAAATAGTTTATATTATGAGTAGTATTAAAGTTAAAAAAATATTAATAGACTTAAAAGGCGTGCAAATTCCTTGCTTACCAATATCGATATCAAAAAGTTAAGATTGATATAAAAAACTCTAAAAATGTCGTAGTTTAAAGAATTCAAATAATCGATTACTAATTTGTTGCGATTAATAGTTGGTGGTATATAGTGTTATATTATATTATCAATTATTAATGAATATTAACTAGTTAATTTTGAAAAAAAATATGTTGAATAGTTAGTAACTAGGTTAAATAATTGATTGATCAACTATCGATTGGTAACAATACATGAGTATACATTTAAGGAGAGTTTGCATTTGTAGAAAGTATATTTAAAGATCTTACAAGCTTGGAAGCGTACATTTATAGAGAATGTATATAGTGTTGGCATTGCATTTAGAGTTAACTAATTAGCGTTTCAGATTTCAGTCATATTTAACTAACACACAAAACAATTTTAGCAATCATTCTTATCAATGAATTATTGAATTAATTATAAGCTGTAAGCCAAACAAGCTACAAGCATGCATATTTTATATCATGAATTTTATTAACAAATATGCCAATTGTAAAAATTATAATAATTTGCAATCAACTAACTATTAACACAAAAATTTTTTGTTAGAATTAGAAACTTTTTTATCAACTTACAAATTAAAACAAATAAATACAGAATATTATATATATATATATATATATTAATTATATTATCTAGTTTTATCAAATATAAATATAATTATTATTGATTATTTATAAAATACAATTTTAATTAATACTTTAGTTAAATTCAAAATAATATTTTATTATTTAGTAAATAAATTAATTATTTAGTTTGTTTTAAATTCAATTATTAATATAAAATAATAATAAAAAATGCAATAGTATCAAAATTTATTAATAAAAGTATAATAAAATATAATTTTTTTTATATAAAAGTTTCAAATTTATTAATCAATATTTTTATTTTTATACAAAAATTCAAAAAAAATAATATATAGTTAATTAACAAAATTATAAAATTATACATGTAATTTTATTAATAAATTATAATAAAAATTGAATTTTATTTTATATAAAAGTAATTAATCTTATTAATAAATATTTTTTATTTTTATATCAAAATAAAGATTATAAGTTAAAATATAATAAATTTTTAATTTTTTTAATAAAATTACTTTAATTACAAAGTTATTACAAAAAATTAAAATATAAAATTAATTATAAAAAATTTTCGCAATAACTTTGCAATTAGAATAACTTTATCAGAAAAAATCTAAAAATTCAAAGAAAATATATATTAAACTATAAACTATAATTTATAATCTTTGTTTTAATATAAAAATAAAAAATATTTATTAAAACTTTTATATATGACAAAAATTTTAAATTTTATTATATTTTATTAATAAAATTGCATATATAATTTTATAATTCTGTTAATTAATATAATTAAAAAGCTTTTTAAATTAAATCTAAAAATAAATATTAAAATATAAATTATTATATATATTTTTATATAAAAATGTTAATTATAAAATTGAAAACTTTTAAATAAAGCAAAAAATATATATTTTATTATATTAATAATATTATTATATTTTTTATTGTTATTTTATATTAATTAATTTAATTGTTTATATAGCTTATAATTTATAATAATTTAATATATTTAAATAATAAGTTTTATTAAAAAAATATTCAAAAATTTCTCAAAAATCAAAATTCTATAAAAAATAGAATTTTTTTGTCTGAAATTTTTAGAATTTAAAAAATATTCCAAAAAATTTAATATAAATTTAATAAATAAAATAATTAAATTTTATATATTAATATATTATATAAATATTAAATAAAATTTAAAAAAGAAAAAAATTTATAATATATAAATATTAGTTAATATCTATTATTTTTCTAATAAAAATCTTAATTTTTAGCTAACTTTATTAGACTTAAAACTTCAAAATATTTTTGTAATAATAATATTTAATTTAAAATAATTTGAAAAAGAATTAAGATATTTAATATAATTTTTAATTAGCTTATTAAACTTTTTTCAGATTAAATATTATTATTTTAAATATTTAATCTAATTTAAAAAAGCTAGTTAAAAATTAAAATTAAGATTTTTTGTTAAATAAAATATAGAAATAATAATATTAGTTATTTTAATATTTGTCAAATTAAATATAAAAATAATATAAAATAAAAAAATATTAATATTTTTATTTTTAGCAGTTTTTTTAGATTAAGTACTAAAAATAATTTAAAATATCTGATTTTATTTAAATTAAGATAATATATAAAAATAGTTCAAAATATAAAATATTAATATTTAATTTTTTCAAATTAAATATAAAATATTTAATTTTTATTAATAAATATAAAAGATTATTAGTTTTTTAAAATTAAATATTAAAATTAAAATTAAATTTTCGATTTTTGTTAAAAATTTAATTATTAGTAAATTATTTTTTCGAATTTTTTTAATTAATTATATAATATTTATTATTGATATTACTAAAAATTTAATACTTAAAATTATTTATTATTTTAATAATTTATATTATAAACAAAAAAAGATTTTACTTTTTAAAATTAAATTTAATATTTTTTAATATATATAATTATTAATTGAAAATTTAATTTAAAATTTATTTAGTAAAAATTTTAAAAAAATAATAATTAATAAATATATTATAATATAATATAATAATTTATATAAAAGATACTAGTTTTATTTACAATTTATAATTTTATATAAATTTCAATTTGATAAATAATAACTAATAATATTAAATAAAAATTAAAAACACTAAAAAATATATATTAATATACTATTTTAAGTTCATTAACTTTTAGTATTAAAATAGTTATAAAATAATAATAACAAAGTATAATTTTTAAAATAATTTAAATAATAATTTTATTTTAATATAAAAACTATTTCTATAATATTTTTATATTAAAAAATTTTTATTTTTAAAAATCTTTTTTATTTATTTAATTTATTAAATATAATAATTGAATTTATATTTGAATTGATTCATGTCAAATTTAATTCAAGTTATAATTTCTCTAATTTAAGTTTACAATATTTTAATTCAAGTGATTACTTTGACTCAGATTAATTTGATTCAAGTTAGATAATGATTTACATATATAATAGAATATATAAATTAACTTACTAAAATTTTTATTTTTATAACTATTAATTTGAACAAAATAAAAAGTATTTATTTGAAATTTAAAATTACTAATATTTTTTATAAATAATTTAATAACAGATTATTTTGTAAAATAAGTTATTTAAATTAAAATTTATAATTAATAGATTTCTTATATTGAAGAACTGCTTTTTTTATAATAAATTCAAATTTGGATTACTAATTAAAAATATTTTATTCTATAAAATCTATTTATTAATATTCATAAAAATTTTCTTAATTTTTAGATATTTAAAATCCTAAGATTAAATTTATATTAAAAGTATTAATATATAAATTAATGTTTATAATATAGATTCAATCTTTTAGAGTTTTAAAGTTTATAATAATTTTAATGAAAGTTAATAAATTGGTAAATTTTATAAAGTAGAATATTTTTAATTAGTGATTCAAATTTGAATTCTTTATAAAAAAAGTTTTTTAATATAAAAAATCTAATAATTATAAATTTTACTTTATTTTATAAAATAATTTATTTTTGAAAAATATTAGTAATTTCAAAATTTCAAATAAATATTTTTTTATTTGTTCAAACTAATAATCATAAAAATAAAAATTCTAGTAAGTTAATTTTCATATTTTATTATATGTGTGAATTATTGTAAATTACTTAACTTGAATTACTAGTCTTAAGTTAACTTGTATTTTGACTCATATTCTGACTCAAGTATTCTTTGAGTTAAAAAAATTATAATTTAACTTGATTTAAGTCAAAATAAATTAATTTGAGTTCAATTACTAATTAAATATAATCTTTATTTTTAAATAAAATTTTATATAATAATAATAATAATAATAATAATAATAATAATAATTTTTTAATTTATAAAAAAGTTATAAACTCTAAAAATAATCAAAAAAAAAACTTCAAATAAAAAAATAGTAAAAATAATATAAAATATTAAATTCTATTTATAAGTAAAATAATTCAAATTTAATTTGAAATTTAGTTCTAATTTAATTTAAATTTCAAATTAAATTTAAACTTAATTAAAGCTTTTAAACTATAATCAAACTATTAATTAATAAAAATTAATAATAAATATTTAAAGTATTATATAATTTAAAATATATTTTAATTATTATAATTTAATTATATTATAATAAATATTTATTTTTAATGTAAATTATAAATTATAATTATAATTAAAACAAAAAAATTTAATTAATTTATTTAAAAATTATATATAAAATATAAATTTTGATTAGTAAAATTAAATATTTTTATATATTTATTAATTAATTTTGAAAATATTATATTATATTTATAAATTATTATATATATAATTTAAATAACTTATATTAAATGATTTGTTTCAATTTTTAAAATTTGATTAATAATTCTATAAAATTTATTATATAAAACAAAATTATCAGTACAATTTTAAAAATTTTGTTTTTATATTAAATTTTAAAAATTGAAACAAATTGTTAAGTATAAATTATTTAAATTTTAAAAATTGAAACAAATTATTAAGTATAAATTATTTAAATTATATAAATAAAATAGTATAATTTTTAAAAAAATATATAATTATAAATAGATATAATTATAAAATTTTAATTATATATTATAATATATTTAGATTTAAAATAAAAATTATACTAATTTTATTTTTTTTAAAAAAAATCAAAATAAAATAGAAAATATTTATAAAAAAATTATCTATTTTAAAACTAAAAATTTATAATTTTCTTTAGAAATAGATCAAAAAATATAATAAAATATATTAACTAATTACTAATTTATTTATAAATAAATTAAAAAATATAATAAAATATATTGATTAATAAATTAAAATTATAAATATATATATATTTAATAATATACAATAACAATCAAAAAGAATAAAATACTAAAACAAATTTTTTAATAAAATATAATAAAATATGAGTATTTCTTTTTATATAAAAGTTTTTAATTTTACTAATAAATATTTTTTATTTTTATATTAAAAAAATAAAGATAATGTCATATATTTTAATATATATTTTTCAAATTTTTAGATTTAATCTGATGAAGTTATTTTAATTGCATATAAAATTAATTATTTTTTATAATTAAAAAATAATTGACTTTATATGCAATTAGAACAGTTTTATCAGATTAAATTTAAAAAATCTGAAAAAATATATATTAAAATATGTGATATTATCTTTATTTTAATATAAAAATTAGTAAAATTAAAAACTTTATATAAAGAGAAAAACTCATATTTTTGTATTTTTACTATATTTTATTAATAAATTTATTTTAGTATTTCATTTTTTTTATTGCTATTATATATACTGATTTTCTTTAAAAAAATATTAAAATTAATTAAAATTAAAATTTAGATATAAATTTTCTGAATTAAATCAAATAAAAATCAAATAAAAAGAAAAAAATAAAGTTATATAAACAAAAAATATAAATTAATATTCTATAACTTAATTAAATTGAATAAATCTAAGTTATATAATTATTAAGATTTATTAAAATAATATTTAGATTTCAATACTTCAAATTAAGTAAATTAAATTAAAATAAATTTATTTTTTCAAAAAATTAGTAATGTTAAATACAATATTATCAAATTATTTTTATAAAATTATTATTAATAAACTAGATAAATATAATAAAAATGTATTTAAAAATAATATATATTTTAATTTAGAATATAAAATTTAAAAAATTAATTTAATAATTTTGAAATATAATATTTTATAATTTACAAATTTAATTTGAATAAAAATATTATTATTTAATTCACTAAAACTAATAAAATTGAATAAAACTAATAAAATTGAATAAAACTAATAAAATTGAATAATATATTTTTTGTTTGAATTAAAATTGTAAATTATATAATATTATATTTTCTGTTTTTATTTATAATTTTAATCCAGAAATTTTATAATTAAATTTGTAATTTTTTGAAATTAAAAAACAAAAATTTTTTTGATTATTTTTTTATAGAATTATAAAAATACTAATTCCAAAAATAACAAAAAAATCAGAAAGAGCAGTGATTTTAGTAACAAAATCAGAGATTTGCTGGATTAACCAGTGAATCTCTGAATTTAACTAAAAAATAAAAAATATTTTAGGAAAATATACAGATATTTTTAGAAAAGTATAAGTTATTTTTTTCTGAAGATGTTTTAAAAAACTCAGGAAATTATTCAGATACTTTCAGGAAAAAACAAGTTTTTAATTTTTTTCTAAAAAATTTGGATAACTTCCTGAGTTTTTTTTTGAATTTAATTTTATTTAAATAAATCAATAATTATTAAGTCAAATAAAATTTTTATCATTTTTTATACATTGATATTTTTTATTACTGTTAAACTTTTAGATAATCCTTTAGTCAGGACAATTTGTAAAAACATCTGCAAATACCGTTATATAACTCACTCTCGATATAGTGAGAATTTTTTTAGAATCTCTAATAAACTTCAAGAAGATTTATCATCGTTATAAGAAGTCAACTACTTCCAGCTCATTCATGATCGATTTTCCTTTACGTGATTTTTCCGATCCTTGACGATCTTGATGAGGATTTGCAGATTTTTGATCAACACGGCAAAACAAATCCGCACAAAAAAATGAACAATGCAAAAAATACGGGAAATAAATGCTTAAACCTAACTTTTAGCACTAATAAAAAATGACGAGAAGTCAATTTTACATATACAGTCAGACATCCCTAAATGCACGTTCTATAAATGCACGGTATAGCTTGGTCCCAGCTTATAAGAGCTCTATGTATTTTGCTCTCTATAAATGCACACACTCTCTAAATGCACTTTTTATATTTTTCACTATGATCCCGAGGGTGGTGCACCTAGAGAGGTCTGACTGTACCTCTACTCCAACTCTAACACCAACCCTAACCTTTAATAGTGCGGAATGTTTTGGTAATTGTTGTTGCTTGGAAAATCGGATCATAAAATCATGTGAAGGGAAAATCGATCATGGGTGAGCTGGATAAAATTTAAGAAGTCAAAAATTTTTTGGACCAAATGTCAAAAAGTTTTACAGGATCAAAGTATTTGGATATTATTCGCAGAATCCATTATCTGGTTAATTTTAATCTGAAAATTAAAATATAAATGTCTATTAGTACGAAAAATTTCTCATCTCGATATTTCATGTTATACATATTAATACATGAGAGTATACTTGCCATCCTATGAAAAAAATTTGTCTATCCTACAGAATTGCCTGGAAAGGCTAAGAAATTCCAAGAATTTGCTGGGTAATATATACAGAATTATTGTGTATTCTCCGAATCAGTTCCTGAAATTACGCTAATTCCGAAGCAACTAATTCTCAATTTATTCAATAATATTTTTAATGCATTCCCCGCATTTTTTTTAATAGAGCCAACTTAGTCACATTAATATTTCAATAATTTTATTAATAATTCTCAAGTTATTCAATAATATTTTTGATGCATTTTTTATAGAGCCCACTTAGTCACATTAATTTTATTAATAATTTTAAAGTTAATTTAATTGTTTATATATATTTTTATCAGTTCCATATTAATATGGGCAGCAAGTATACATGAGAGTTGACTTTGTTATAACAGTTTGTTAAATTACTAGAGGCAAATTCTTATTCTTCAGATTTTATTCAACATCATAGAATTTACTCTAAATATTTAAATCTTTTATCCAAAATTGATAACTTAAGTATATACCTAATTTTTGAATAAATTATGAACTTTAGAACTATTTAAATTGGGTATAAACGAAAGAAATTTGGCCTCTCTACCAGTCTCATAAAGGTCTTTATTTTTAAAAAAATTTGAGGCTTTTTTTAGCTATCTTATCAAAAAAAAAATGAGTTGCGAATTTTCGTTTAGAATTAATTTATTGCGAATGAATACAGTAAGCTATTTAGAAGTTTGCTATTGTTTATATAACATTTATTGTTTCCTTTTAAATTTACTAATATTGTTAGTTAGTTTTACACGACATTTAAATGCACAACTTATTTTCATAATTTCCATTTTCTTTGAATTTTTTACGTAACGAATTTTTTCTTATAATTATTTTCTTTATGATAGTTTTTAAGGGCATTGTTTTATTGATTTATTGGATTACATTGATTTGAATCGGATTATTAATCAATAAAATCAATTACAAATGCATCTAATGCCCATGTACGAACATGACATGATATTTAATATCCGTCAAGCACATGCGTTTTAAGTGTACAGTATTGAAATTTAATTATACACTGTACCTAACAATATCAAAAAATTTCTCTTCAAAATTAAATTCACTGCATAAATTACACGCAAGAAGAATGGTACACAGATTTAAGAAAACGAATCCTACAAAGCAACAAAAGCTTCGGTCATCAATTAAATAAGCGGCCAACAACATTTCTAAATAAATCTCGGAACAACATAACGATAACAGACACTTGGTCGTACAACACAATGTGCAATTTACGCTTTCAACAAACACAGCTTTTTGAAATGAATAATTCTACCACATGTCTTTCATTGTGATGATTAAGAGGCATTTCACCCGTAAATCTGTATCCATTATTTCATTTATTTATATACGTATCGATATATATTCGGTAGTGACAATCAGCAAGTGTTCAAAATTTGAATGTACATGTATTCTCTTTGAACTTGCTCAACAAACTAAACAAACGATACAGAATTCCTTATACAACTATTGTTGCTATTGTTGTCTTTGTTGCCTTTGTTTTACATTTTTGGAATTCTCCGACCTGAAAGCCATCATAATCAATTGGTTCCAATCTAAAGCGAATATGTGGTCTTAAATTAAACTTTGATTTGTTGCAGAGAATGATCTCAAAATTTTTCTGTATTTTATTACTAAGAGCTGAGTTTGGTATTTATAGATTGTTTTTAGTTCGCCGCCACCTCTTTTATTCAAATTTTATGCATTATTAGAAAGTTATTTGTCGTTATACGCATAAAAAGAAACCTTATATTTTTAGAAATGGTTAGGCGACTTATAATCTGGTAGAGCCATCAGATTCGCATTGTTATAATTTTTTGGTGATATTATTAGAACATTGACAAGCTCTATTCTACATCGCAGATGAATGGAATGGATGGATGAATGAAAGTAATGCATACCGATACGTACATATCGAATCGTGGTAGTACGATTTTAAATGCAATAATTTGAGGCGAAGAATTTACAAGTCGAGTAACATTACATATGGTACGTATATATATTGATATCGATATACATGTATATATGTACAATATTACATTTATTTATTAAGTAGATCGTAGCGCAGTGCTGCATTCATTGTAAATACGTATATATGATATATACATATATGTCACGCAACTCCGCGCGGTAATAAATGTACGTAAATAATTTACTCATGTATCAAAAAAAAATAAAAATATTAATAGCGACAGTAAAAATAAGACGCACACACACATATATATGATACATGCACTTAAGGGAGACAAAGAAACATTGCGTGATCTACTTTTTACGGTGATAAATTTCTAACTTTACTAAGTGTGATATTTGATTGATTTTAGATTGATAATTTATATTGCAAAAGTTTTGAAAACTTGATTATTATTGCTACTGTAATTATTATTAGCGTTACTGTATCATTACTACAAAACTTATAATGAGAATTTATATTGTTCGAAATTTATTATACGTATCTGTGTAAATGATAAACTAAATAACCTAACTTTAAATAACTCCATTTTGCCTACTTTTTTGCCTTTTGGAGAAATATATAGCAAAAAAGAAGTTCTAAAATTAAATATTGTACAACCATTTTTTTCTTATAAGAACGCAATGAGATACTAACTTTAAAATTCACAATCGCTAAAACTTTATAAGCAAAAAAAAATAATATCAATCCAAATGTCTTTACATGCACCAACGAATGAAAACGCAGTTGCCCTAATTAACATTTTAAATCGTCAAAATATATTTCCGCCGCTGTTAAATGATCCGGAAAACCTGATACCTCCTGAAAAGAAGACAGAAAATGGTACATTACAACCACGTAGACCGCAAAACGCCTTTTTTATTTTCCGCCAAAATGTTATACACGAAGCGAGACAGTTCAAGATAAGTAACATGCGACTTATCAGTAAAGCTGCGAGCATAATGTGGCAGAACGCTAGTAAAAAAGACATCGAAGTTTATAAACAATTAGCAGCACAAGTTTCAGCATTGCATCGACAAAAATATCCAAGCTTCAAATATGCATCAGCACGATCGAATATCGTTTTCCGACGACAATCGAAAAATTCAACTGTTAAAGGCTTGAATTCATCTAATGGATATTCTAAAGAAAACACGTCATCAGAGTTTAATAATTTCGAATCAATCAACGAACAGGTCAATACAAAAATGAATATTCAGAACCTATTCCCGAATCCAGTCTCAGATTATTTTTTCACTCAGTACGACTGTATGCAGCCGAATATGGACTTTGTTAACTATGTAGATGTATATGAGGCAGAAGTTAACTTTAATACCGGTTTTCACGAAGCTTTAAGATAATGAAGCTTCAATCAGAGATAATATTTAAGAATCATAATTAATTAATGTAGTTATTTGTGGCCAAATTCGTACGTAATCATTTCAGAATAATATTGCGAAGAAAAACTTTTCAATTAGTCACGTATTATGTTGTTGTTTATTGACTTATTAACCAAACGGACAGAATTTGCAAAAATCAGTCAAGCTTTATTATCTATAACAAAAAGGTAATTAATTCTACGCAAACTTTCATTATTATAACTGATTAGCATAAGTTTTAAATGTTAGGCTATTGTTCAACTAAGATTATATTTTCATTTACTTAATTTGTATTTTAATTAATATTGAAAGCTTTTTAAGAGCTTATAAGGAATCAAGTTTTGACGTTAAATCTATTTGTTGTTTTAAGGTTCTTTAGATTGTTGATCTGTAATAAAGTCATATCGATATCGATATCGATATAGCGAATAAAAGTGATCGTCAATGTAGGTTCATTGTCGACAGATTTTTTGAAACATGTTTTTTGAAATTGAATACAGTCAAAGCTCTATATAACGGAGGATTGGCTCAAGCTCAAAAAAATCGTTATAATGAGCGCTAAAGAATAACTCGTTATAAACAAATGCTTTTTACTATGGTCGGAAATTTTCAAAAGTTCGTCATATCCAAATCTCGCTATATAAGGGATCGTTACATTAGAGCTTTGACCGTAGCATCTGGTATACCATTCATGGTTTAATGATTTCATTAGTGGAAAAGAGGTAGATATACATGTATTATAATCTATATGTAGTGCAGATTCATTGTACATGTATTAGATTCATGTCATTTAGAATTTTTAATTAAGTTCAAGGTTCTTCTGAAAAAACTAAAACTTGCTAAGAGGTTTTTCTCTAAATAAATTTAAACCTGTGAGTTGAGCAAGGATTAGAAATGGCGCAGCAAGTATGTGATGCTTATTTGTCACCCGTTGCAACACGTTGCAACTCCAAAATTTTATAAGCTGCAACTAGTTGCAACTAGGTGATGCTTTATTTGTCACCATGTTGCAACAGTTGCTGTGCCATCTTTAGCAAGGACAGAAGTTAATCTGTACTTTTTTGAACTAGACTTGCAGGTTTAAATTGGGGTAATATGCAGTGAAAACTCGAAAAACTTGAAGGTTGGGACATCTTTGATTATTGGTAAGTAAGAATTTTAATTTTTAGTTGGCTTGAAACAATAACTGGACACTTGTTATCAATAATTCTATTGAATTCATAAGGTACGAAATAATAGTAATATTTCTATCAAAGCTTTAAGTAGTATTCATTACCTTGTTTCCATGATAGATCAGTATATTTCACATAATTTATCGATTATTAGTTGCTAGCATAAATACGCGATCGAGAAAAAATCGCGGTTGGATTATTGTTCAGTTCTGCCTTGCCAAAATTTTTCAGAAATTGTTATAAAAATAAAAAAGTAGCAGTTAATAGTCAAGATCTTTTTGTGACTCAAAAGACTTCAAATGAATTTTATGTTGGTAATAATAATTAAGAGACAAAGCATTCAGTCTGAGTAACTTCTTTATAATCACTTTTTAATTGATATAATAATAAAAAATGAAAATTTTTACTGAATATTTATCAAAGAATTAATTATTGAATATCCAGATTTTTTTATTACAGAAAAATAAAAATAATATAAATTTATAAAATAAAGTTACAATATATTAGATAATACAAAATATTATAAATAAAAATATATTGTATAATTTAAATTTTATAGATTACTTAAATAATTAAATATATATTTTATAAAAAAACTCATAAAAATTCTCTGAAAATATTAATTAAAAAAAATTATTAAAAAATCTGTTCTTTTTAAATATTTCAGAAAAATATTTATTTTTTTTTGAAAATATTCAATAATTTTTTAATTTTTTTTAATATTTTCAGTTTTTTTAAATAAATATAATATAAATATAAAAAATATAAGTTTTTCTTTATATATAATAATAATAATAAATAATATCAAATTTTATTAATTAAATACAAATTTTTCTCATTATATAAAAGTTCAATTTTATTAATAAATATTTTTTATTTTTACATTAAAATAAAGATAATATTATTTATAATAACAATTAGAAATAATACAATAATATCAAAATTTATTAATTAAATATAGTAAAATATAAATTTTTTATATAAAAGTTTTCAATTTTACTAATAAATTTTTATTTTTTACATTAAAATAAAGATAATATCATATATTTTAATATATATTTTTTCAGATTTTTAGATTTAATCTGATAAAACTATTCTAATTGCATATAAAATTAATTATTTTTTTATATATTTTAATTATAAAAAATAATTTTATATGCAAATAAAATAGCTTTATTATATTAAATAAAAAAATACATGTTAAAATATATAATATTATTTTTATTTTAATGTAAAAATAAATATTAATTAGTAAAATTAAAAATTTTTATATAAAGAGAAAAATTCATATTTTACTATATTTAATTAATAAATTTTAATATTATTATATTATTTCTGAATAAAGATAATATAATAATTATTGCAATATAATGATAAATAAAGTATTATCTAGTTGCAACTAGTTGCAGATTATAAAATTTTGAAGTTATAATATATTGTAACAGATAACAAATAAGTATCACATATTTGTTATATCATCTTTATTTTTAATTATTATTATATAATATATTTAAACTAAAGTTATTTATAATTTAATTTAAATTATTATAATTTATATAAAATATAAATAATTTAGATTAAACTATAAATGACTTAGATTAGATTAGAATAGTCTCAGATATATATCATATTTTAATTTTTATAACACATTTAAATGATATATATTTTGTTTTTTAACACATATCTGAAATATTTATAGTCTATCTATCAGATACTATATAAATTGTATTTATATTACTACTTAAAAATTACTAAGATATGTATCAGTGTGATATATATCTTATATTTTAGATTATACTTGAATAATATATATTTTGTTTTTTATGACACACACTAAGATAATATATTTTATATATTAGATTATATATAAACTATTAAATGTCAATTTGATAATTATGACTGACTTCTATTATTACTCTTATATATACACTCCTACAGTATATTACTGGAAATTGGTCATGCAAAATGCTGATCCAAAGTTTAAAAAGCCAATTTTATTGGCATTGTACATAATAATACAAACACAATAATAAACAAAAAACAATCCCGTTTTTTCTCTTTTTTATAATGCGTGGAAAGGAGTTAATGAATGAACAAAGGGAGCAAATAATCAGCGCTTATCTCGTTGGCATCAAAGGTCTAAATCTCACACTTAAATTCAATATTCCTCAAGCAACAATATATGATATCATCAAATGATATAGAGAAACCAATTTCCCGCATCCTGAAAAATGTTCTGGTCAGCCAAAAACTCTGACCAATCGTGAAAAACATACACTAAAACAAGTTATTCTAAAAAACCAGTTTTCTCCACTTGGTGAAATCACAAATGAACTAAATAACAAACTCAACACTTCTTACCATGCTAATATCATCCGCAAATACTTAGATGAAATAGAGTTCGGAAGCTACACTCCAAGAAAAAAACCTCTTTTGACTCCAAATCAAGAACTTTGTCAATTAAATTGGTGCTGAGAGAAATATAACTGGAAAGTGCAATGGAAAAATATAATCTGGTCTGACGAGTCCAGATTCACACTTTTCGAATCAGATGGCCAGATAAGAGTATGGTAGAAACCTGGTAAAGCTTACTATCAAGCATGCATTAAAACTACTGTTAAATTTGGTGGAGGATCAGTGATATTTTGGGGATGTTTCAGTTAGGATGGGGTTGGTTCTTTGGTACCAGTAGAAGAAACCATAAATTTAGATGTCTATGTTAATATTTTTGCCAATTATTTTGTACCCTGGGCTCGCTAATATTCACATGTTACATTTCAACAAGATGGCGTATCATGTCACACCTCGATATATACGACTTGGTGGATGTCAACACATGGCATTCGACTTTTGGATTGGATTGGTCAAAGTCTTGATCTCAATCCGATTGAACACCTATGGGATATTTTGGACCGCCAGATTCAAAAAAGAAAACCATTACCTACATCAAAGCAAGAATTAATTTGTATGTTACAAGAGGAATGGATGAGTATTGATTTGGAAACTTTGCGTGAGTTAATTTTGAGTCTACCTAGATGCGTAGACAAAGTTATTGAAGCCAAT